GACTCCAAGAATGAAGCTGCTATTGACTAGCATGGATGGGGAAAACTGGAGGAAACATAGGTTTGGGGGCATATTAGGAGCTCAGTTTTGGAATGTTAATTTTAAAATACTCATTGGACACCCAGATGGAGTTTTAAATTGGATCTATAATCTATACAAGTCTGGATTTCAGGGGAGAAGTTTATTTATTTATTGGTACTGGGGTGCTTAACCAATGCCCTTTTTTATATTTAATTTAGAGACAGGGTCTTGTTGAGTTGCTTAGGGCCTTGCTAAATTGCTGAGGCTGGCTTTGAACTTGCAATCCTCCTGCCTCAGCCTCCCAAGCTGCTGGGATTACAGGTGTAGGCCACCATGCCCAGCCTCAGAGGAGAAGTTTAAACTGGAGATAAATTGGAAATTGAGAGTATCACCTTATGGAGAGGGACTGGCTCTTACCCATGGGATTGGATGAGGTCACCAAGGCTGCAAGTGTAGATGCAAAAGGATATGGTCCAAGAATTGAGCTCAGAAGCTACAGTGTTTTTGAAAATGGAAAGATGAGAAAGAAGCAGTAAAGGAGACTGGAACATGAAGCTAGAGAGGCAGGAAGAAAACTGGGAAAGTGTGATTCTTGGAAGCAAAGTGAAGAAGGGTTTCAAGGATCTGCTGTGAGAATGCTGCTGAGGGGTCAAGTAAGTCAAGCCTAAAAATTGACCTATCCAGGTCATTAATACTATATAGGTCATTAGTGACTTGATAGAAGCAGTTTTTCATGCAGCAGTGGATAAAAGCCTGCAGAGAGGATTAGGGGTGGGAGGTGGGAATTGAAGACAGTCTGTCTTACTGACTAGGTAAGGAAAAAAAAAAAGTGTGCTATTAGGAGGGACAGTGTGGTCAAGGGACAGTTTTTAAACAAGTAGAAATAATAGCATGTTGGTATGTCAATGGGAATGGTTCAGTAGTGAGAGAAAAATTGATGATGCAGGAGAGATGGCAGTGTTGCTGGATTGATGGCTTGTGTAGGCGAATGGGGGTGGGATCCAGAACCCAACTGGAAAGGCTGTGCTTGGCCAGGATCACAGACAATTTACCCATAGCAACAGGGGAGAAGGCAGGGACACAGAAGCAGGCAGGTGGGTGGGTATAGAGTGGGAGCTTGTGGAAGTTCTGTGTTTATTTTAATATGTATTAGGTAAAATATCCATATCAAACTTGTCATTTCATGGTTGCTTTTGCAAAGTAGAGAAAAAATATTAAATAGTAGGAGTGCTATGCAGATAAGACAAATGTTATACATGAATGACTGGATTTGGGACAAAGATATTATAGGCAGTGTTAGGTCTATGTGTGAGACTGGAGGCAGTGAGAGGATCTGGGAGGTTGTTACGTTTTTCTGGGCAAGAGATGGAGGCCTAGGCTGGAAGTGGCTGTGGAGGTGGAGGGAGAGAGAGAGAACAGACATGAATGGAATTCAGGATGTAGCATTGCTCGGACTTGGTGACTTAGCCATAGGGAATAAGGAAGACTCTTTTCTGATGTAGCAGTGAGGGGATGGAATTCCCAGATACAAAGGGGCATCTGTAAGGAAGTGGAGCAGGTATAGGATAGAGATATTTTTTGATGCAGAAACAAGAGAAAGTTCTGAGGCACACTTAGCTTCCAGGCCTGCACCAAGAACCAGGACCTACTGGGTGTGCAGAGGAGAGTTGATGACATCCAGTGTGATGGGATAAGGCAGGCCTTGCTTCAAGAGAGCTCCTGTTCTGGGGTGATAAAAAACATTCAGATAGCGCTAGAGGAAGGCTGATTCTGTGGATGTTGAATGCTTCCTGGAGAAAATGACCTTGAAAATTGGTTGGTGGCAGATGGAGAGAACACAGCCTGTGCTGGGGAATCAGTAGAGAACATGTAGGGTGTGCAGCTGAGGGTGGAAGGCTGGTGCCTAGAATGTTGATTGTGGGCTGAAGCTTTGGTTTAAGCTTGTTAGGCAGGGCCTGGAAGGTGGATAGAGGAATGTGGTGGTAAAGCTCTAAGGTTCATCTGGAACTGGATGTAGGAGAGGTCTGGGCTGGGATTGTTGGGAGTAGGTTTGGTTTTGGACAGAGCTTCCAACTCCTGCAGCTGCCATCCTCTGCAATCCCCACAGGCAACAGGACCTGTACCGAATTCTGAAGGCCTACACCATCTACCGGCCTGATGAGGGCTACTGCCAGGCCCAGGCCCCAGTGGCTGCAGTGCTGCTCATGCACATGCCTGCTGAGGTCAGCACAGTGGTCCTGGTTGGGTGGTGGGAGGATCTTGGCCTATAGTGGTAATGGGGGAGCTGCCTACTCCATGCCTCTCAGGCCCCACTCCTCCCTCCTTATTTTTGCCCTTCTCAGCAAGCGTTTTGGTGCCTGGTGCAGATCTGTGACAAGTATCTTCCTGGTTACTACAGTGCAGGGCTGGTGAGTTTCTGGAGGCTGGGTGCATCAGGGCTGTCACTTTTCCTTAAGGCTGCAGGGAGCTCCTTGCCCTTCCACACCCTGGCCCTTCTATCCCTTTCCTCTGGGCCTCTTACCACTGAGATGAGGATCCCCTGTCAGGGTTGATTCTACTTCAAGGGTGCCATAGCAGGCTGGACTTCTTCTCATGGCTCTTCCCACCTCTAGGAGGCCATTCAGCTGGATGGAGAAATCTTTTTTGCACTCTTGCGCCGGGCTTCCCCACTGGCACATCGGCACCTACGGCGACAGCGCATTGACCCCGTGCTCTACATGACAGAATGGTTCATGTGCATCTTTGCCCGCACCCTGCCTTGGGCTTCAGTGCTTCGCGTCTGGGACATGTTTTTCTGTGAAGGTACTTCCATGGCCATCCAAGCTTATGAGGGAACTGGGGTTTGCATGGTGGCTACCAGATGGTCCTGTTACATTTCTGGCAGACCATTGACAAAAGGAACTTATTGCCCCAGCCTGGAAAAACAGGCCTGGTCTTGGTTAAGTTACCAACCTAGAGCCTGCTCTCCCTCCCAGGAATATAATACCCATTGCAACTCATTTCCCTTCTTGGAACCTCAATTTTCTCATCTATAAGGTTGACAGTAGACAGAGATAGGGTCTGTAAGTCCCTCATAATTGAGACAGGCTGAGATCCCAGGCCTGGATCCCCCATGTTCTCCTCTCTGATCTTGCAGGTGTTAAGATCATCTTCCGGGTGGCCCTGGTCTTGCTGCGACACACACTAGGCTCAGTGGAGAAGCTGCGTTCTTGCCAAGGCATGTATGAAACCATGGAGCAACTGCGCAACCTGCCCCAACAGTGCATGCAAGAGGACTTCTTGGTACACGAGGTAGGAATTGAGCCTCAGCACACCCCTACCTGCTTGAGCACATTCCCATGATCTTCATTATGGTACCCATTTCCTCTTTGTTTAGGTAACCAACCTCCCAGTGACGGAAGCACTAATTGAGCGAGAAAATGCAGCCCAGCTGAAGAAGTGGAGGGAAACACGGGGAGAGCTACAATATCGGCCTTCACGGAGACTACATGGCTCCCGGGCCATCCATGAAGAGCGAAGGCGGCAACAGCCACCCTTGGGCCCCTCCTCCAGCCTACTCAGTCTCCCCGGCCTCAAGAGCCGAGGCTCCCGGGCAGCTGGAGGGGTCCCCTCCCCACCCCCTCCTGCCCGCAGGGCCAGTGCTGGGCCTGCCCCAGGGCCAGTTGTCACTGCTGAGGGACTGCATCCATCCCTTCCCTCACCTACTGGCAACAGCACCCCTCTGGGTCCCAGCAAGGAAACCAGGCGGCAGGAGAAGGAGCGGCAGAAACAGGAGAAAGAGCGGGAGAAGGAGCGGCAGAGACAGGAGAAAGAGCGGGAGAAGCAGGAGAAGGAGAGGCAGAAGTGGGAAAAAGAGCAGGAGAAAGAACAGCAGAAGCAGGAGAAGGAGAGGCAGAAACAGGAGAAGGAGCAACAGAAACAGGAGAAGGAAAGGCAGAAGCAAGAGAAGAAGGGCCAAGGCCGGAAGATTTCACTGCGTCGAAAGGCAGATGGGCCCCCAGCACCCCAGGATGGTGGGGACAGGTCCTCAGTAGCTGAAGCCCGGCAGGATGCTTACTTCTGACCTCTGCCTGGGGCTGGACTGCATGGCCCCTCTCTTTTCCCCTCAGCCAAGAGAAGGACTGGCCTGGGGTGCTCCCCAAGCCCCTCAGCAGGTGTCCCTCTTTATGAGGAAAGTGGCTTGACTTCCCATCTCCTTGCCAGCTGCTGATACCTACATAGCCAGGACAGCCACAGTGCATGGGGCAGCTGTGACCAAGTCTGGAGACTCTTGCCTCCAGTTAGACCCAGCTGGGGTCTCTGTCACTCCTGCCAGTTCCCTCTGAGGTCCCCTCCCAGGTGCTGTCCTGATTGGCCTCCAGTCACCACAGGGTGATTCTTGGCAATAGCAGTTGGCAGTCTGCAGATTCTTACACTCCAGTGGCTCCCTTTACTCATGAGGTGGAGCTGGGTTCCTTTTCCCTTCTTTGGCCCTGCCTGTCTCCCCCACTTCCTTTCTGGGGGCCAAGACTCTCCTCATTCTACTTCTGAACATCTCTGTGTTGTAATTATGTACAGAGGACCGGGTTGGCCCAGGATGGGGGGTGCCCGCTCTGTCTTTTGTCTTTCAGTTCTCCTGCACTCCAATTTATTTAAGGGGACATGCACTGAAATAGGAAATGTCCCCCACTTCCCCTCCCATGCTCATTCTGCTCTCCTCCCTTACCCACCTTGCTTTATATTCTCAGGCCTCTGCTTTGTCTCACCAGGATCCCCCCACTCCTTCATCTTGTTCCCTTCCAACCCTCAAGCTCTTGAGTAAGGGGTCTTCCCTTGAGCTCCAAGGGGTGGAATCCAATGTTTACATTCTCTTCTGTCTCATCTCCCATCCCTTGCGACGCTTTGAGGAACCGGAAAAAGAACCTGCTGTTGTACCTGGGCCTGTGTCCCGCCTTGTTATTTGATGAAGGGGTTTGGGGGATAAGAATTAGGGAGGAAGGAGAGAGCCATGACCTGGGTCTCTGCTGAAGCAGTCTGCTGACCTTTGGTCCATCATTCAGTCACTGATCAACAAACACTGGTTAAGCTCCTGCTCCAGATTTGTTTGGGCTCTACTGCCTCCTTTGTCACTGGCCTGGAGCCCTCTATGCACTGCCTTCAGCATCCGTATCTCCTTCCCAAAGCGCTCGTGCAATTCCTGGAAGCAGGAGGGGGCACTGAGAGTAGCTACAAAGTCACGGTTCTTTAGGGGTGAGTTGGGTTTTTGGCCAGCTGCCTGGCACAACTCCCGATACTGGGCTTCCAACAGGGATAGCAGCCCATCCAGTCGCCTCCAGCTCACCCCAGCCAGGGCACAGAGCCAAGCCTCCAGCTCTTCCTGGTTTTCTGCTGCTAGCTTGTAGGCCCGCCCACATGCACTCTGTATCCCTGGGGTGAGTATGGTAAAGGCATAGGGTTCAGTGGCCTTAAGGCATGGCTGCACTTGGCAGTTCTCCAACAGGATAAGGCCCAGTGGTGTGTGGTCTCCCTGGTGTTCCAGGTAGAAAAGGAGGTTTCCCCGGAGGATAAACCAGCGGCGTTGGTAGCTGGTGTTTCGGGCTCCTTTCTTTAGCAAGATGCCCTCCTGGTCTGGTGCCTGTGTTCTGAACTCATGGAAGAAACTGAGCACAGATTTTCGGTGTAGTTTCATGGTGATCCAAAACGGAGAAAACCCTGGGGAGAGAGAAGTGGTCCACCTGGTTTGCCTGGAGGGAGCCTCATGCTGCTTTCTAGTTGCAGAAGGCTCTGCCCGGACAATCTAGGTCTAGGGAGATTGAGGCTCCGTCCTCAATAGCAACAGGTGTAGTCCTGACAAGATCCCTCCCACCTCTTCTTGGGGCCAGATTCCAATCACCTGGGCAGATGTGACCAGGCCTTGTTAGCTAAGGGGTGGGATGAGCTTCTTCCTGCAGCTGTAGTTACTGGGAACTGAACCCAAGGCACTCTATCACGGAGCTACATCCCTTTTTTTTTTTTTTTTTTTTTTTTTTGAGACAAGGTCTCGCTAATTTGCCCAGGCTGGTCTTCAACTTGTAATCCTGCTTCAGCCTCCAGCGTCGCTGGAATTACAGGCTTGCTCTTAACAACTGTTGTCCTTTTCTAGGCGTACCTGAGAGGAGAGCAACGGGGACTTCTGTCCAGGGATGGGGCACCGGTGCCAATGCCACCTCTCCTATGATGGCTCTTTCACCTAAGAAACCAGGAACTGGCCCAAGGAATAGGGGTGGGGCAAAAGACTTCCCCTGGGTCCTAGAGGGAGCTAGGTTCATAAAGTACCCCAAAGGTCATTAAAGCCCCRCAGGTGGGCTATTAGGTGAGCAGGGCTTCCGCTCGGACAAAAGCAAGGCCGCGGCTTTCAGACTATGAGAAGACTGACAGCTGGATGTTAGGAGTGGGAAGCCAGAGTATCTAATGAAATGGTGAGGGGCGCAGAGTCCTGGGGGAAGGGCGACTCGAACTGTGCCTGCAAAAATTTAAACTGGAGCAGGAACTCACTGTCCTTGCTCGGACTCTTGTCCTCCATCCAGACCCTAGGCGCCCCTGTAAGTAGAATGCGCTCTACRTTCTCTCCAGAGCCTCTCCTGTTAAGAGGGAACCAAAGTCTCTTCCGGTCGTCCCTCGTGCCGGGTCACGGTTTAGGCGTTCTTATATCCACTGTTCTGGTCTTTACAGCCACGCGGATTACGTCACTTCTGGCGGGGAAGACAGCGAGGGTGTCTTCCCTCACTCACCGCGCACTTCCGCCCGCTCTTGCAGTTAATCCACTGACTGGAGTGAAGCCACTTCCGGCCTCCTCGGGCGCCTTCCGCAGTCCTCTTCCGGGTGATAGAGGCCGATACCCCGGATGTATCCCTGGCCAAAGCATCTTTCCTTTTTTTCCTTTTTCTCCTGGATTCCCAGGTGAGCGCGAGCGGGTGAGACTGCCTGAATCCCTATGGCTCTTCCGGCCGACTAGTTTTTGGTGGGGGAGTCGCCGCGTGGAGTTCAGCGAGAGGAGAAACGGGGCGAGTAGGGCGCCAGGTCCTGGGCCCGCCCGGGCTCTGTGGACGCTGCGGGTGTGGGGACCGGGTGTCACCAGACAGTCGAGCCGGGTCGCGCTAGACTGATATGGGGATGATGACGTGGGGAGCCTGGCTCCTTTCATCCGGCATGGGGGACCCCATAGGGTCCACAGGGGCATCCTTAGCGCTTCCGTCCTTCTGTTTCTGCCTCACTAACTCTTTCAGAAGCCAAACCAAATTTCAAGGGGACGTCCTGGCTGCCAGCTCCCTTTCAACTCTTGATTCTGTACTTGCTCCCCTCCCAAACCCGACTTGGCATATGCCATTGAAAATTTTTTTTTTTTTGCGCGGGGGGCCGACTCGCGCTGAGCTCCCCCCCCCCAGGTCCCTTACTTTCATATCCTTTCCTTTGGCTCAGCTGGAGAAAGGTCCTTCTGCCCAATCATGCCAAAGAGGAAAGTGACCTTCCAGGGCGTGGGCGATGAGGATGAGGAGGATGAAATCAGTGTTCCCAAGAAGAAGGTGAGGTGACCAGACTCTTGTGTTGTGGGGAGGTATGAAGGGAAAAGAGGAACTAAAAGCCTGAAGAGAAAGAACTGGGGAGTGAGAAATGTCAAAAAAAAAAAAAAAAGTTTTTCCACATTCTTGAGGAATAGGTTTGGAAAATATTCAGCTTGGAACCATATCCTGGAGTATATGGGTAATTAGCCAGTAATCTGCATTTCTAACTTGCTGATTCTTGCTTACAGCTAGTGGACCCTGTGGCTGGGGCAGGGGGTCCTGGGAGCCGCTTCAAAGGCAAACACTCCTTGGACAGTGATGAGGAAGACGATGATGAAGAGGGATCCAGCAAATATGACATTCTGGCCTCCGAGGATGTAGAAGGTGAGCTATATCCAAGAATTGATTGTGTTAAAAAAAAAAAAATTGACTCTATTGGAGGGACAAGTAGGGGCTTTTGGAGTGTGGAGCAAAGGGTGCTCCTGTCTTTTACACACATAGCATAGAGCAATTGTATCTTTGGTCCAGGTCAGGAAGCAGCCACTCTCCCCAGTGAAGGAGGTGTGCGGATCACACCTTTCAACCTGCAGGAAGAGATGGAGGAAGGCCATTTTGATGCTGATGGCAATTACTTCTTGAACCGGGATGCTCAGATCCGTGACAGCTGGCTGGACAACATTGACTGGGTGTGGCCTAGGGGCTGGCATGGCTGAGGCCTGGGGGTGGCAAGTCCTGGGCCTAAGCCCCCAGTGGCAGTTGGTGGGTAATAATTTCTATTACAGGTGAAAATCAGGGAGCGGCCACCTGATCAGCGCCAGGCCTCAGACTCAGAGGAGGAGGATGGCCTGGGACAAACACCAATGAGTGCCCAAGCCCTCCTGGAGGGACTTTTGGAGCTTCTCTTGCCAAGAGAGACAGTGGCTGGGGCACTCAGGCGTCTGGGGGCCCGAGGAGGAGGCAAAGGGGGCAGCAAGGGGCCTGGGAGGCCCAGTTCCCCCCAGCGCCTAGACCGGCTCTCTGGGTTGGCMGACCAGATGGTGGCCCGAGGCAACCTTGGTGTATACCAGGAAACAAGGGAGCGATTGGCTATGCGTCTAAAGGGGTTGGGGTGCCGGACTCAGGGACCCCATGACCCCACACCTACACCCTCCCTGGACATGTTTGCTGAGGAAGTAACAGAGGGAGAGCTCGAGACCCCGACCCCTACCCAGAAAGGAGGTGAGCTTGAAGGGCAGAGGAGGGGTATTGTGGGCAGGAGGCAGGGCACTTGAGGCCCAAATGGCTTTGCCTGTTATTTTAGAAGCAGAATCACCAGGAGATGGTCTGGTGGATGTGATGTGGGAATATAAGTGGGAGAACACAGGAGATGCCGAGCTATATGGGCCTTTTACTAGTGCCCAGATGCAGGTAAGCCCCTCCTACCTCCTTCTGCCTTGTCCCTCCCTTCCCTGACTCCTGTCAGCATTCTCCAGTTCTGTCCTCTCTTCCTGCAGACCTGGGTGAATGAAGGCTACTTCCCGGATGGTGTTTATTGTCGGAAGCTGGACCCCCCTGGTGGTCAGTTCTATAACTCCAAACGCATTGACTTTGACCTCTACACCTGAGCCTGCTGAGGGCCAATTTGGTGGTCCCTTCTTTCCTGGACTTGGTGGAGGTGGCCCAGCTGCCTCAAGCAGTGAGGATATTGAAGGCTGCTTTTCAGTTTCCCTTTCCCAATAAAAGTGTTGAGTGTGCATTAGGGCCTTGGCTGTGCTAATGGCCAAAAGCCAGGGGCCTTTTCCATAGCCTCCTTGGCCTTGCTTCAGTCCTTGAGTGTTTCCTTCCGTGAAGTTCCTCCTTGGAAGTTTCTGATATCTTAGACCACCTCACCTTTGTTTACCACCCTCAGTGGCAGAACTGGTACCTCAGGTGTCCTGTGGCCTACCCAGACTCTGCTCACCATGTAAGAATCTCTCACACTCTATTCTCCGGTCTTTTCTGGGGAGTCTTGTTCTGCTGTTTTTAGGTCTTTGACTTTCAGGACCTCAGATTCTCTGTCCTTACATCTCCCAGGTTATAGAGCCCCAGAACCAGAGATTTTAGGGCTGGAGGGGTGGGAATATCTGGAAGACTTTGGAACCGTATTGAAGGTGAGCAGGAAGTCTTACACACTGTCTTCCCACTTAATCTTCTTAGATGTCAGACAGAAGTGGGATGGGTAGGTCAGGATCATCCAGAGTCCCACAGAGGTAAGCACCAATACCTTTCCTAATCTGATTCCTCTATTTTTTGTAGCAGTTCTCACTGCACTTGGGTGAAGTGTGAACTGTGTACTGTGTGACGCTTATATGGCCTTTCAGGTTCACCTGGGCCAGTCATGCTTTATAAAGTCACAGAGAGGGGCAACAGCTTACTGGAAGTCATACAGTGAATCAGAAAGCTGGCCTAGACCCAATGGGCTTCTTTCCCAGACCTTTCTTGGCACAAAGCCTTTTTTGCTTGGCCTTTGAGACTCTATAGCTTACATTTCCTGGGCTCCCACATATGTCTTGCCCGGGACTAGTACTTAGAGAAAACAGATAACTGGGCTGGTGGGAGGAGACAGGTATCACTCTACTGCCTGGATATAATGACCTCACCCCCACCAGTGCTGCCTTATACCTCACCTCACTTGAACCAACTTAGATTGATTTTCCATTTTTCCACCTTGGCTGCCCATTGGAATTTATTGGGGAGTTGTAAAACACTTCTCCTCCAGATACTGATTGAGATGGCCTGTAGCCTAGGTGATTGGTCTTTTAGAAGTTTTCATTCAGCTGATAACCACCAGGCCTGACTCCTTGACTGAGGCATACTTGGAGAGAGGCCAGTTCCTCCACCCTGATGGGGCAGCAGAGCTGAGCATTGTGTGGCTCTGATGGAGTCTGTTAATTGCAAGGGATCTGAGCACAGGATAAAAAGCCCCAGGGTAGCAAGAACCTGGCTAAGAGTTAGAAAAGATAGGGGCCAGACTGGATGGGGATACTGGCTTTCCTCTGCCCATGAGGCTGGGGCATTGAACTCAGGGCCACATTACTAGGCACATGCTCTGCCACTGAGCTACACCCACAGTCCATTTAATATTCTCTCAAGCCCTCCAACTTGTACTATAAGGCCTCCTCCAGTGTCAGCTGAGATCAGAATTTCCTTGGCTCCAAGAAACCATTGGCAGTAGGATATTTTGAGTGTCAATAAGAAAGAAAAGATGCCAGTTACAGTTGTGTCATTGATTAAAAGGTAATTGATTTAAAAAATCTTCAGAAGTGAAAAGCAGGTCTCTTAAACTGTAAGAAATAGTATTCTCCTTTACAGGCCAATGGCTCCTAAGAGGTGCCTAGTCAGTATTTGATGAATATGTGGAGGCTAAGGGCAATTCTCTCTGGATGTCTGTAGGCACCTCAGACTCCAGCTATCCAAAATTGACGTCACCTTCCCCTTATAGCCTCCTGAATCCACCTCACTGATGTGAATTGGGCAGAATAATGGCCCCCAAAGTTAACTGTGTCCTCAACTCCAGAACCTGTGAATGTTACCTTACATGGCAAAGGGACTTGGACATGTGATAAAGTTAATTTGGAGAAGAGAGATTACCCTGAATCATTGAGGTAAGCCCAATGTAATCACAGTGGAATTTATGAGTAAAAGAGGGAAGTCATGAGGGTCAGCAAGAGAGAGGGGAGGACTTCATGCCACTGGCTGCAGAGATGGAAGAAAGGGCCATTTGTCAAGGGATGCAGGTGTCATGGAGAAGCTGGGAAAAGCAGAAAACATTCTTCTCTAGAACTTCCACCAAGAAATGCAGCCCCCTGACATGACATTAGCCCTGTGAAAACCACTCTGGACTTCTGACCTCTAGAACTGTAAGAATAAATTGGTGTTGTTTTAAGCCTCTGAGTTTGTGGTCAGTTGATACAGCCCCAGTAGGAAATGAACATGCACCCACCCAGCTGTATGCCTCTCCTGGGAAGCCATCTAATAGAGTTTTCCCTGTGGCCCCATACAACTCTGTTAGCATTTAGGATTGGGAAAGCTTCTTGCCATGTGGGCCTTGTATCCCAAGGTGCACACTGAGCACCCCTTTGCTTTAAACAAAAATGTGTGTGTGTATGTGTGTAATTAATTAAGGTATATAGCTAGTTAATGGCTATAATTTTATTTATTTATTTTTACTTACTTTGGTACCTGGGATTGAACCCAGGGGTGCTTAACCACTGAGCCACATCCCCAGCCTTTTTAAAAAATATTTAATTTAGAGACAAGATTTTGCCGAGTTGCTTAGGATCTTGCTAAGTTGTTGAGGCTGGCTTTGAATTCTTGATCCTCCTGCCTCAGCCTCCTGAGATTACAGGTGTGTGTCACTGCATCCAATGTGACTATAATTTTATTTGAATAAGTTTTGGGTTTTGTTTTTAAGAAGGGGCCCTCATTGTTGCCCAGGCTGATCTTGAACTCTAGCTCAAAGGATCTTCTTACCTCAGCCTCCTGAGTAGCTGGGACTACAGGCACATGCCATCATGCCTAGCTACCATTTTTTGTTTGGTGCATTTGGTTGTACATAATAATAGCATTTGTTGTTACATATTCATACATGCACACCCTATAACAATATAATTTGACCACTATCCCTTACATCCTCCTTCCTTCCCTCCAACCTCTTGGTCCCTCTCTGTAACTGATCTCCCTTTGATTTTTATAAAATGTTCCCTCACCTTTTCCTTTTTTTTTTTTTTTAGTTTCTGCATATGAGGGAAAACAATTTTCTTTATCTGTTCATACGTTGATGGTCATCTAGGCTGCTTCCATTGTTTGGCTATTGTGAATTGTGCTGCTATAAACATGGGTATGCATGTATTACTGTAGTATGATGACTTTAATTCATCATAACAGATACCAAGATGTGGTATACCTGGGTCATAGGGTGGTTCCACATCTAGTCTTTTGAGGAACCTCCTTACTGTCTTCTATAGTGGTTGTACTAATTAATTTACAATCTTACCAGCAGTGTAAAAGTGTTCCTTTTCCTCCACATCCTCTCCAGCTTTTATTTGTATCCTTTTTTTTTTTTTAAAGAGAGAGAGAGAGAGAATTTTTTTTAATATTTATTTTTTAGTTCTCGGCGGACACATCATCTATTTTTGTATGTGGTGCTGAGGATCGAACCCGGGCCGCAGGCGTGCCAGGCAAGTGCGCTACCGTTTGAGCCACATCCCCAGCCCTAATTTGTATTCTTGATGACTGCCATTCAGACTGGTGTGAGATGAAATCTCAGTGTAGTTTTGACTTGCATTTCTGTAATTGCTTGTGATATTGAACATTTTTTCATATATTTGTTAGCCATTTGTATTTCTTCTTTTGAGAAGAAGTGTATTATGGTAATCTATTTTTTTTTAAAGATAGAGACAGGAGAGAGAGAGAGAGAGAGAGAGAGAGAGAGAGAGAGAGAATTTTTTTAAATATTATTTTTTAGTTTTCAGTGGACACAACATCTTTCTTTGTATGTGGTGTTGAGTATCGAACCCGGGCCGCACACATGCCAGGCAAGCGCGCTACCACTTGAGCCACATCCCCAGAAGAAGTCCTGGAACAGAAAACAACTAGGGAAAATGTTTAATTCATTTGCCTATTGATTAATTGGATTATTTGATTTTGGTGTAAAGTTTTTTGTTTTTTCCTTAGTTTTATTTGTTTATTTATTTTTATTCTAATTAGTTATACATGACAGCAGAAATGCCTTTTGCCATATTGGACACAAATGGAGCACAACTTCTCATTCCTCTGGCTGTACATGGTTCAGAGTCACTCCAGTAGTGTAATTGTACATTTATATAGGGTTATAATACCATCTCATTCTACTGTCCTTCCCATCCCTGCAGCTTAATTTTATTTATTTGTTTTTTATTGGTGCTGATAATCGAACCCAGTGCCTCAAATGTGCTAGGGGAGTGCTCTATCACTGAGCCACAACCCCAGCCAGGTGTAAACTTTTTTGAATTCTTTATRTATTTTAGATATTAATCCTCTGTCAGCAGAGTAGCTAGTAAAGATTTTCTCCCATTCTATGGTTCTCTCTTTACATTCCTGTTTCCTTTACTATGCAGCTTTTTAATTTGATGCCTTCCTATTTATTAAGCTTTTTATATTTTAGAATAGTTTCTCGATTTACAGAAAATTTACAACAGTAGTCCAGAGTTCACTCAGTTTTTTCTTATTAACATCTTTTTATGAGCCACGCACATTGGCACACACCTGTAATCCCAGCGTCAGGAGGCTGAGATGGGATAATGGTGAATTCAAAGCCAACCTCAGTAATTTAGCAAGGCCCTTTCTCAAAATAAAATGTAGGGCTGGGGATGTGGCTCAAGCGGTAGCGCGCTCGCCTGGCATGCGTGCGGCCCGGGTTCGATCCTCAGCACCACATACCAACAAAGATGTTGTGTCCGCCGAGAACTAAAAAAAAAATAAATATTAAAAAAA